GGGAAAAAAAGTGCGAAAGGGAAAGAGACGGGTATTTCTGTGGGCCTTAGAGAATGAAAATGGATGCACTTCTTGATACAGTACCTCTTTCTCTATTTTTCCCGCAATAGATTGTCAGAAACTCAACCGATTCCCTTACCATACAGCGAAACTTATCATATCTATTGATTATGCATGCAGAAGCACACGCTGGCGAATAGTGTGATTCCTAGCCATCCAGACATATCGCCCAGGTCATGAACAATTTCCTTAGCGTTTTAACATGATCGCTATATCAACCCTCTCCCATTCATTGAATGTCTTCTCTATGTCTCCTCTCTCCTCTCGATGTGGAGCTCCCTTAGCTCCTTTCCCTGAGCCTCCGAACCGGCTCTAAATCTCCACCCGGTGACCATACCGTTTCCCTTCCTGATACAGTTTTGCTCCGGTATGGGCGGGCTCAAACTGAACTGATTGATGTGCAGACTAGATTCCCTATTGTCATGTGTGGTCGGCAGTAGACTGCGGCTGGTTGTGATTTTTGATTCAACTTCATTGATACCATTTTCTCTGTTGTATACATGACCATCTAGTTTGGGTTCCGTACTTCCCCTGCAGCTCAGCAGAAACATGATCTCCCTCAGTGCGCCTCAAATGATTCATTAAATATTAGATTTTTGTCTATGGTGAAGGACGATAGTTGGGTGCAATATGAAAACGCTAGTTCTGAGAAAGCCAGATGTTCGAGGTGGGCTAAGCTTTTCGGGCCGAGCCGCCGCTCACGTGGATTTACACGCCAACCTTGATTTACCTATCTTGAACCGACTGTCCGACTATGCAAATTCCCGATCTAACAATATGCTTTTACCCACAGAAACATAGAAGAGGCTCCGACTAGTATTATATATATTTTTTTTTTAAAAAAAACCAGCTCCACTCAAGACCAAAGAGCGATAAACAAACAAACTCCATGTTTCGCCCCAAGGTTGCCAAAATCCTCCTGTTCTCTTCACAAACCAATTCCGTCCGTTCCTATGGTTTAATATCTTCTTCCCCTGTGAATAAATGAGAAATACGAACCATCACAGTCCTCAAAAGGGCTACCACGCTACCACGATTTGGTATTGCTGGTTATTTACACTTATACTCCCCAGGCTACTTGCTAAGAGCCGTTTTCGTATCCGGTTCGCTGGCAACAATGATGCTGATGCCCCTTGAGGCCCACACCTGTGCGTGGCTCTCTGGTGCCGCACTATTATTGTCATCATCATGGCGATTATTTCCTCCACCCTTCTCACTCAAGAGACTCCTATTCTTCGTCTCCCCGGTCTAGTCAGGAGAGGATAAGGGGAGAACCCGGCCGATAATTTGGGCCGGGGACTTCTTAAAGAAGGTTTCCTCCCCGCCCAGGTCCTTATTCTCATTCGAGGTTCTCCTTTTTGGAACCTCAAATGAGGTTCCTCTATGTTAAATCTTATATTGCTGCTGCTATCTTCCTGTTGGCTGTTATTTGGCGTCTTCCCAGGGTTTCTGGGCAATGGGTCGGAGCCCTGGCGATTTGGATCATGTTGTCCCACTGGGGATTGCCCCCTCTGTCCGACAGGAGGTTCTTGCGCCTGTCTAGATGAGCCGCGCGGTGGAACACTACTACCAGCCGGCGAGGTTCCGTGCGCCGTTATCGGGCTTGCGTTTCTAGGCCATTCTCTATCCGCAAACTCTACCACCATTTATAGCAACCCTGTTAGCTATGCCTTAAAAAAAAAAAAAAAAAAAAAAAAAGAAGAAGAAGAAGAAGAAGAAGAAGAAGAAGGCCCAGGGGGAAATGGCGCCTTCTTGGGAGGGTAGACCGCAAACGACATATCGACAACCCACCATCAAGCTTGATCATTGCCCTATTCCCCAACTCCTTCTCCTCACCCGTCAGCGACTTGACATCGTCATATTCCTCCCACTCACTCTTCGCCACAAGCTCATTCAATGCCTCCTCACTCCAAGCCCGGGCCCCTGCTTCTTCGGCAGGTAGCCCATCTCCACAATGTTGCGCGCTACGCTTGCTCGCAAACCTCGTAATCCTGGCATATTCGGAGGGTGTCTGGCCATCATCACCGTGGCTGCTATTGGCGGGTACTTTGATACCAGGAGCAATTGATGGTCCCGGTGTGGGTGTTCCCAGCCGCTGTGACTGGCGTCTCCGTGACATATCTGAGTGGCCTTATGGCGTTTGGGATCAGAGTTTGCTTGTTTTTCTCTCACGCGACTGGCTGTGTGGGATAGAAAGGTGGATAATAAGAATAAGAATTAGTTCACACCAGTCAATTTATTCAGACGGTTGTATGGCACCCCAAAGATTGACCAGAAGGTGGATATGTTAAAATCAGAAGGAGGTATAAATATAGCTCACGCGAAATAATCCAAAAATTTGAACATTTTGCAAATAAAAATTAGAATAGAATGAAAAGAAAGAAAGAAAGAAAGAAAAAAGGAGAGAAAGAACTTACTAGCTACAGTAGTAAACCAACGAAATTGGCGTATTTCAAAGGACCTCTAACAAAAAGAGCAGATATAGCTAACTAGCTCCTCCATTCACAATCATATCCAGGGACAGATGAGAAACAAAGCAAATCCAAATCCCCCCACAGGAAGAAAAAGGCACAAATAAGAGAGAAAAGATAGCAAAGAGACAATTACTCGCCCCCGTGTCCCTACGCAACTCAATCAATCAATCAATCAATCAATCTAGGTATCTCCTCTAGCATTCTTTCTTCAGCATCTTTCTCCACTTTTCTAAATCCCTTTCCCCTGTGCCAACAAAGCTCATTGTACTTTACATTTATAGCCATGTACTGTCCATATACATACAGTCCATACCAACCAGCCACAGCCCCCAACACCTCATTCGAAGACGGAGAGTGAGCCATAGAGATAGAGAACAAAGAGTTCTAAGTGATGTCATCAGAAAAATTAAGCAATGGGAGAGGATATGGGAGGAAATTGATGTATTTGCGATCGGTCGTCCGCTTGATTGGGAGAAAAATGCCAACATCGACAAGCGGGGCGCGGCGCCGTGAGCGGGGGCCGGGAAGAGACAAAAAAAATAAGGAGTGCGTCAAGAAAAGAAAGTCATTCAAACACACAAAGGATGAAACAATAAAGATTGAGTAAAACAAAGCGTTCGAGAATGAAGAATGGAGGAGAAAGGAAAGGAAAGCGAG